GTGACCCCCTGGGAAGTAGATTTGGGCTTATGGGGGCTGGGCTTTAGATTGGGCTTACTTTGGCCTTTCTATAGTGGGCTATCTACCTCGGGTGTTAACGGGCCCCGGGGTAGTCACAAGGTTAACGGGCCTCGGCCCCCGTGCTTGTAACCGACCGTTCATTAATTTAAAAAAAGAAATTTTTTTTTAAAAAAAGAAATATATATATATATATATATATATATATATATATATATATATATATATATATATATATATATATATGCATCTTTGTAACATTTATCAATAATGATCATCAATAATAATCTTCATTAATGTCACCAATAATGATTCATTATTAGTAACAATTAATTCGTAGGTTACAAGTGTTTCATTAAAGATCTATTAATGTTATTAGAGATTAATGGCCACTTAACTCTTGAAAAATGGAAAGATTTGCACTCAACTTGTAAAATAAAAGAGTTTTTGGTCTGAAGTCGAGCAAATAGACAAGGACGAGCACGAGATCATGACAAGCAAGTAGTCACGGTGACTCTTACTCTAAGCCGAGGATGACACCGAGTCAAGCTTAAGGTCGGGGCCAAGCGCAAGACCAGAACCGAGTACACAGCCGGGACAGGCACGATCTAATCTTGGGGTCACTTAAGCATTCCCAGGGTCCCTACACTCACCTGGGTGTCCAAAACTCTTTGATGAGGCCAAGTCCCCTAGAGTCATCTGAGGATACTGAAACTTTGCCATATTTACGACCATTTCTTCTTCTTATTATTAGGTTCATTCATTCACCATTCGTCTTACCAAGAAGAACATGTGTGTATCAATAAAAAGTCAATAATCGTTTTTGGACCCACAAATAGATAAATACACCCTAAGTTGGTCAATTTTAATGCCTATTAAATGCCAAAAATCAAAAGTAAACCGATTATCATATCCTCGTGAATGATTAGAATGAAATATAATTCTAATCTTTGTTAACGAATTGACTAAATTATAAATTGAAAAGAGAAAGTTTAAGACGGATGAAGTAATTAAATCCCAAGATTAAGGAGTCACACTAATTAACAAACAAACCAAACGTACAAGCACAAATTAAGCACTCCAACTATGCAACATCATACCAAAAATTCTATAAAAGCTTCACAAACAACAAATTTACTCAAATTTTGGTCCAAACTCGCGAACCTTTTTCGGGTACAGGATCTTCTGGATGCGAGTATAACCCAATATTTTCTTCCCCAGGGGTGAACTTCCTGCCGCAGAGCACATAGCGAGGAGCATATGTGAGTACTCGACCACTTCAGGGAAGAATACCTTCCACCATTGTGTCACTTTGAACCATGCTGGCTCTCTAAGGTACCTTTTTCCCTGACAAGCACCGCTCACGATTGCCTTTGCGCATCCCTCTACCTTTCCTATAGGAATGATATTCACTTGCGCCTGCGACATATTGTAAAAGTGAAACTGCATCATTGAGTGAAATAAAAGATCAAAGAGTATATAATTGGTAAAGAAAGAATATAATACATCAGACCATACTACAGCAACACCACATAGGTGAACCCATGCTTTGAACAGATAGAACAGACGATAATCGTATGTGCCGCACGTGCGAGTTTGTGCAAAAAATGTTTTACCCATGAGGTCACCCATTAATATTTAAAATTAAAGCATTTGGAAATTAATGAAAAAATGATTATTAGCAGTCGGGATGTGATGCTGGGAAGTCGATGTCAACGAATGGTTGGTGATGATATATGGTCGGAAACAATAGGTTGGCGGCAACGGCAACGGTGACTGACAATGGTTTAGGGAGAAATCAAAACCCTGTATTGATATCTCCCAAATTCAAAACATATCAAAACACTCCATTTGGAAGTAATATGATATCTAGAGATAACAAATCCAAACTCTACTTTAATTCCACGAAACGTCCACAAAAGGGTTCTAATATCTGAAGATATCACAAGTTATATCTCTCGCGCTCACCACACAGACCCATGAGAAATATCTCGAATACTGTTTCATTGGAAATTTATGAACACATTACCAGTTTGTGAACCTTTGTTTGGTTGATTAAATATGTTCGGAAACTTACGGAAAACATCTTTAGCATTTTGAAAAGGTTATTAATTAACAATGTTTAGCTTCAAGATTTTCAAAAATGAATCTACACCTTAAAACGATTCAAAACGCTAAGTGAAATTATTGTTCCCAAACAAGGGCTAAGTTATATTGAATCAATTTTCTTTATTTTTTTGAAAATAACAAGACTTAGGGAGAATAACTTACATCCCTCAAATCAGCATCAACACTCAATCTGCCATCTTTTTCTAAGTGATTTCCTTGGGTTAGTTCAGACTCTATAAATCCAGGGGTCACCAAAGTTATTTTGATGTCATGCCCAAATTCAATCCTTAACGTTTCAAAAAACTGAGACATTGCTGCTTTACTTGCTTGCAATCAAAACGCCAACCATTTTAGCTAGGCCATTTTTAATGTCTCTCTTTAGAGGGATGATAAATGTAATATCAATATATTCATTTTGCAACATACTTTTAAAATGTTATGTTATATATATCTATATATATATATATATATATATATATATATATATATAACACATATATATATATATATATATATATATATGTTCTAGTGAGAATGCGATCTTAGGAGAGAAATGAGAATGAATCTGGTGCACTACAAGAAAACTGTCAATCTGCCACGGACAATTTCTGTTGCAGAATTTGAAATTCCGTGGCAGATTTAGAATCTGCAACGGACCTGCAACGAAAATATTCTGTCGCAGAAAACTTGTGGCAGATTTAAAATCTGCGACGGAACTGAAAATCCGTGGCAGATCTACAACGGACGTGCAACGAGTTCGTCTTTTTTTGCAACCCAAAAAATCTGCGACGGAAGTCTACACACCGTTGCAGATCTGCGACGAAATCAGCAACGTACTACTCCGTTGCAGACCGCCTGATCGCAGCCACTAGTTTTTGCTATTTTTTGGCAGTAGCTAGTAAAATTGGGGGCAAAACACATTCAATTTTCACACATAATTCTAAACAAGATATCAATACAAAATACATAATTCAAAACTAGATTAATGAAAACTTCACGTGCAAATGTAACATAATTCATAATATTGTAAAAATACTAAATATTAAAGTGTTAGTGTCAAATCTCAATGGTGTCAACAAATCCTGACACCTCTTGTTCCATCATCATTGCCTCATGTAGGAAGGTTACCACCATATAAATTCTTGTAGTGGTGTTTTAGATTGGGAGATCTAAGGGTCAGGATTGCATCAAAATCAGATGCACCAAAATGGTTTAAAAATGCATCACGTCGAAATGCACCAAAATCCTTTGAAAATGTACTATCTCAAAATCTGAGCGCATGATGCAATCTGAGCCGCACGATGCATCAGATCCAACGGCTAGATTTTATTCTCATTTCTCTCCACAAGGTGCATTCTCACGGGAACCAGCCCCTATATATATATATATATATATATATTGTCAAAGCTTGCATTGGAGACTATGAAAAGTCAAATGAAAAGAAAATTTATGGATGGATGGAGTACTATAAATGGTATATAAAAAGTACAATAAAGTTAATTGATATGAACCAATGGAGTAAATCTAAGAATATCTATGTTTCTTAGGAATCAACACTTATGTTGTAAATGCCAAATACATACTACATTATAATACAATGAATAGTAATAAAAAATACTTACGTTGTAAATGCTCATTCTCAGTACAGATAACCATGTCGCAGATGAAGAAATCACGACAATTTTACCATTAGTCTTTCTCAGATGAGAGCTAGCAAAGCGAGTCATATAAACTGAGCCCCAGAAATTAATGTCCTAATTAAAATATAAACAAGAATATTCTTATTAAAATCTTAACCTTTTGAAGATGTGTTTGTGTGTGTTAAGACTGCCTATTAACTCTATAGCTCTATGAGTATGATATCATCTACTTTAGGTCAAATCGTCATAGACTTATTTTAAGCATTTCCCAAAATTTGTCAAACTCTTGGAGTGAGATCAGCTTTTATATTCAAGACAATCTAACACTTTTCAATGTGGGACTAGGTTTTCCATTCCGACAATATTTATGCTTGTTATCAAGCATGGATCTGAAGTGATGGTTCAAGGCAATTAAGTTTCTCACCATGACCGATCGAAGAGAGGTGACATCGTGAACCTCTTCAAACAACGAAATTGATGTTACCCCGGCATTATTGACGAGAATGTCCACTGTAAATAAATCACAAAATGGATGTTTTGAAAGCCAAAAGATGTGTTTATGAGAATGGTTTTAGCTAGCTAGGTATAGATATAACACAACTCACTGCGTCCAAAATGACTTATGGCTTGATCAACAATCCTTCTACAATCGTCTACAATGGAAACATCTGCCCGGATTGCAGCAACATCTGGAGCACCAAGCTCGCGAGCTCGATTAGCTACATGATTTAGGCTACCCTCTCTCCTTGCAGCAAGAACTAGCGATGCTCCCCGTTGGGCATACTCATATGCAAGATGCTATGCATTAGAAATTAATAATAGGATTAGAGGTAATAATAATTAAATGTAACTAAATATTATAATTCTTATTGTATTTTAGCATTAGTGATTTAAGAGCTAACTATCTCTCGTGATAATCGCAAACATAGCTTGGATCAAACCATTTTTGTGCTAAAATAAATTTACTTACAGTATGTTAAATAATTAATGGGGAATGCAAATCAATCACTTTGTCGTGTATTTTCATTTGCAACTAATATCTCTCAAATCTCTTTCTTACTCATTTTTCATATCTTACTTTTTGTTTATTTTTTTCATGCATCCTTTATCTGGAACTCCATCTGGTCTTTCGCCTAATAAGTACGCGATGTGGCTTGCAATACCAAACGTACATAAATAATCCGACTTTTTTCAAAACCCAAACCTCATCGATGAGTCTGGGGCTAGAGTCGGTTCTGAAAACTCAACCGGAACGAAGCACACTAAAAGAAAGTGCACGCCAGAAGAGTCACAAGCCGCAATCGAGGATCAAAAAGTGTGTGTGTGTGTGTGTGTGTGTGTGTGTAT